TGATAATCCTGTCGACATATATAAAGGCTTCCAAAATTCATTGGCGCCTATCGTTTGGCTAAAACAAGGCTTTATTTTGAGTCTCATACGCTCTCGTAGGCGCCTTACAGTCGGGTCTCTTTGTATTTTACATATACCATATTATACAGTGCTTACAAATACTGAAATTCATTTTAAAAAATATATTTATTGTATTTTCCTGCATTTTCCTGTCATAATCCCATTCCTGTCCCGTCCTGTCCTGAAGCTATCCATTCCTGTCCCGTCCCATTCCTGTAAGCATAGGGAAAATCTTTTCCTGTCCCGTCCCAATCCTGTACAGGAACGGGACGGGACAGGAATTTACAGGATTCACGTCTTGTTTTTGGGAGACTAGCCTAACCTTATGTGGGAGTTGTATAACATTCCAAAGGGAGTGTTATACAACCAATCGCTAACAAGTATTGGAGTTGTGCTGTATGTCTACATCACTGCAGTTAATGCATACATGATGCAATATTATTCAATGCATAGAACCAAATGCTATTCATTGGCCGGCATTGACCGGTACCCCAACTGTGGCCACACAAAAATCGGTGATTGACCCGATTGGCCGCCTGTGTCTATGCTGTATAATTAATGTCATGATATCTACACTAAACTATTGTCAGATAACTAATAGTGAATCCCAATAACCAAATAAGCATTTGAAATATATTTTTGTTAAAAATATTTTAACTTTGAAAATGAGATAATTTATAAGTCAAATATTTTGATGTAAATTTTTCAAAATAATTCTAATTGACATACTTTGAAAAGTCTTGTTCATTAACTATTCATTCGATCTTGATGAAACTTGGATTCAGGTGCTTAGGGATGTCAACTTAAATTATGAAACTAATTCCACAATTATACATGTATGTACAAATTTTAACGTCCTTGTAGAAACAATCAATATATTACTAATTGTTTCAACAATTATTAATTTCGGTGTTAAAAGTACTATATCTAGAGCAGAGATTCTTCAGGGATTCCCTAATAAAATTAGTTAATAGAATGTTCGGGAATAACATCAAGTTAGTTTTAAAGGTTATAATGAAATAAATATAAACAATTTTTATTTTCCCGAATAATTTACTCCCGATTTTGACATATTTTAGAAAAGAAATCCTAAAATTTTATGGAAAATAAGCTAAAACACACTCTTTCCAAGAAAAACTAAAATAATTATTATAAAAATGCACTAAATTTTGAGATAAGATGTTTAACAAAATATGCACTATGTGAGTTTGACGATGTGAACGATTTTTTCCTCAATTTAAAAATATTGTTACAAATAGAAGACAGACTTAAAGAATAAAACTTCTTTGTTATTCTACCTACTATGATTTATTTTAAAATGATATAAATCTATAATTATTGTGTTTGAACTGAATAAACGTTAATTCCCGAATTTGACTGTTTGACTCCCGGTTCCCGATTAAATTTGGTGGTTTTTAGTCCCGAATAATCTCTGCTCTAACTATAACTCACAAGTAAATAACAATTGAATTTCTCGATGAACACAATTACCGAACCGCCCCTAAAACCCGTATTGAAAAGCATTGCGAATAATGTGTGCTTTCGGTGTCTGAAAGGTCTAAAGAAGAATAAATCTTCTAGAGATTGACGAAATGGTCACTCTATTTACAACTTTTTAAAATTATTTTATGGACAATATTGAGTCTATTTATAGATAGTTATTTGATGGAAATTATTACGACATCAATATTTGTTTTTGTTACATCTTATTTTTGAATATAAATTATTAAAATCCATAATTCAATTAACAGTCAGAATTTAATTAAAAGGTAATTTTTTATTTTGACGTTTTACTCCTGGTTTCCAATCCAATTGTGATGTTTTCATGTCAGAATAATTATAACATTATATGTGATATGGGATAGCGTTGCCAGAATATGTTTTAGATATTCTGTATAAAAGTAAAAAGTTTACCTAAAATTTTTGTAAAGTTATTTCATTCATTTTATATTACATTTACTTAAAATTCATACAATTTCAAAAGATTTTGCAATAATTTGAATGTCTTTACAATATATTTATAATAAAATTAATTGAGTTTAAATTCATTCGATTTATAGCATTAGCCCAGAATTTTAGTATACAGTGTGTGTACATGACTGACTTTATAAGCAAATCTGAATATTTTAATGCTTTTACAATTATTGCTAAAATATTTATTCCTGTATTGTTCAATGTACAGGAATGACACCTTCCTATACTTTGGGAAATTTTCTTAATTACAGGTCATTCCTGTATATCTGGCAAACGTAGATTTGGACATATCTTATGGCAAATAATGATTGTAAAATTTTGGGATACTATTATTGTTATTATAATAAACATCGACTACAGTATATTGGCATATAAATAATCGGTTCTTCAGATTTTATATTACAAAACAATTCATAAACTTTATTAAAATCCATTTTAATACAAACTTTTCTATAAATTGAGTACATATTTGTATTTAAGACAACAACTGTTTGAAAACTATTTAGTTATTTAATTGATAAATAATACTATTTGTGTTAAAATAACATTCTGTGTTACAAATGGTTAAATAAAATAAAAATATAAGAATATTTAGAAAATGTTGAGTAAAACAAACGAAACAATAACTAGAAGTTTGAATTGTTTGCATAATATTTGGAGTCGAGTGGAGAGGGCGGACCACTCCAGCAGTTGTCGGCCGGTGTTGTCTCCGAATCGTTTGGTTTACGAGACAAGAGATCTAAATGCGAGGAATTGGGAGACGACGGGCCACTACTGGACACGAAGGAAGGCGGACCACTCCAACCAAAGCTCTGACACGAACTCGTCGGCGACGTTATCGGTAGACAGCCTTTCATGTGATTGCCTGACAGTCCGCTTGAGTTGGCGTTTATGGGTATTCGCATCGAAGAGGACGAGAGGGGCAGTCGATAGAGTTGGGAAGCCGTCAACTTCTCCAGGAATGACTCCAAATGACGCAGAGATAAGGCGTTGTGTAGTGTCTCCAGCGGTCGTATCGTTGGGATACTGGAACAGCCCTCTGAACACAAATTCATAGCATTTTATAATGTATTTTGTATTTAATATGAATTGCAAAATATTTAATGAAAAACGAAACTTAAAATTGAGGGAGAGTTCAGATAAAGATTAGTATTTGTTCGACAGTTAGAAGTATTAATGATTTAATTGTATTTTAATACCAGAACTGGTGTGAAGAAGAGTCTCCTGAAGGTTTGGTGCGCTCGAAGAGCCACTGATGACAGCTGTGCTAAAGAGACTACTCGTCGACCCTAAGGATTGGCACCAATCATAGCAAAACAGTGCCGAACATAAAGGACTTGCAATAAACGAAACACAAAAATACAACTCAAAGTATGGATGAATTCTCACCGAAATGTGACAAATCCGTGAAATTACACATTCGTAAGTATGTACTCAATTGGCCGGGGATTGAGTGCCTGTGATTCTTGTGGCGAACTTTTATATGGTTTCGATACGAATATTAATTTCTAAACTACTAAATAGTTTCTAAAAATTCAATATAAAAAAGACATACTCTGACAGCCGGGAAGATCGCAGTCAACAGATCCCGAGACGTCATTCCAACTGAGAGTGAGAGCCCTTTCTTTATCAATCTGTTTCTTCTGCTGCTCTTTAATGATATCACTCTCAAGACTGTGAGGTCTTTGTGTGGAAGAAGATAATGAATAACTACGAGCCTTAGACTCAGTTGGAGTGGAGGCCTCTGTTGTGTCGCCAGAGTCTGAAAATGATTATTAAATCATTCAATTTAATCAAAAGACATTAATTTTCACTAACTATTCCTCTCTTTACTTGTTGTAACGGTTATGGGAATCGGTTCTGACTTTTGATTATCGTTACCGCTTTGTTTAGTCTTCTCCTCCAATTCTGGTTCTTCCAGAATAGTCGGCGATTCCTATTATATTTGGACATAAATCGGGACAAAAAGTTTTAAAAAATAGTTACAAGTAATTCAAGAATATGAGGCATAACTGGGGATTCAAAAGGACTCACGGGAGGAGTGGATACACAAAAAACTTTGTGTTTTTTACAGAAACAAACATTTAAAGGCTCTTCGATTGTTAAGTCAGTTAATAAGTCGTCTGAATCTTCTTCTTTAATACAAGGCGAATAAGTCGAATAAGAAAGTATTTTATCACAACTGTTAGAAGTGATTAATTTCTACAAAGCAATGAGGTATTAATTTTAGTAAACTCTTGATTAAACCATTTGCCATTAATAATTGCAGGGAATAACATTAGTTTTGTTAATTATAATTAATTCTAACCTTAATGGTTCCGCTACTTCTGGATTGAGGCCTAAAACCGGGACCTTTGATGTGATTCTTCTGCAAACAACAGACAACTCCTGGACTGAAATGTAATTCCACGTGAAATCTGTCGTCAGAAGTCGGGTCTTTGGTTTGGTCTTCGTATAGCATTATAACAATTTGTGTCATATAATTCAGTTCAGAGACGAGACTAACGTAATCCATGGCTCGTCTCCACTGTTCATCCTTTGCTTCATCAAAAAGACCGCCTAAAGAATATGTAAACAATTTGTATCAATACTCAAACTCTAAACCCAAATTATATATCAGTTTTACCTAAACGTAAAACATTTAAAAGGGAATGAATATGACTTTCACTCGTGAAGTATAGCCGAGTCCTGACGTGACGACCGGGTGAAGAGACTCCATGAGAATAGTGTGGATTCAGACGATTAACACTTTCCGACTCGTCGTCTTCGGCGGCGTAAGTGTTGGTCAATAAATCGGATCTAATTTTCTTGAGAAGCGGCGAACAAATGCCTAAACCTATTGTCAACTTTTCCTTTTGTGTGATTCCATACTCTTGAGGAATGACGAGATCGGCCAACGCTTTGGCGTATTTGTAAAAGTCTTCGGCGTCAGGAAATTGAAGGACGTGTTGGTTGTGTTGCAAATCATATTTAATGCAGTCATAAATGTCTGGTATTTTGCTGATATCNAAGAGCCACTGATGACAGCTGTGCTAAAGAGACTACTCGTCGACCCTAAGGATTGGCACCAATCATAGCAAAACAGTGCCGAACATAAAGGACTTGCAATAAACGAAACACAAAAATACAACTCAAATAATGGATGGATTGCTCACCGAAATGTGACAAATCCGTGAAATTACACATTCGTAAGTATGTACTCAATTGGCCGGGGATTGAGTGCCTGTGGTTCTTGTGGCGAACTTTTATATGGTTTCGATACGAATATTAATTTCTAAACTACTAAATAGTAATTCAATATAAACAAAGACATACTCTGACAGCCGGGAAGATCGCAGTCAACAGATCCCGAGACGTCATTCCAACTCAGAGTGAGAGCTCTTTCTTTATCTATCTGTTTCTTCTGCTGCTCTTTAATGATATCACTCTCAAGACTGTGAGGTCTTTGTGTGGAAGAAGATAATGAATAACTACGAGCCTTAGACTCTGTTGGAGTGGAGGCCTCTGTTGTGTCGCCAGAGTCTGAAAATAATTATTAAATCATTCAATTTAATCAAAAGACATTAATTTTCACTAACTATTCCTCTCTTTACTTGTTGTTACGGTTATGGGAATCGGTTCTGACTTTTGATTATCGTTACCGCTTTGCTTAGTCTTCTCCTCTAATTCTGGTTCTTCCAGAATAGTCGGCGATTCCTATTTTATTTGGACATAAATAGGAACAACAAGTTTTTAAAAATAGTTATAATTCATAAGTAATTCAAGAATATGAGGCATAACTGGGGATTCAAATGGACTCACGGGAGGAGTGGATACACAAAAAACTTTGTGTTTTTTACAGAAACAAACATTTAAAGGCTCTTCGATTGTTAAGTCAGTTAATAAGTCGTCTGAATCTTCTTCTTTAATACAAGGCGAATAAGTCGAATAANTCGATTGTTAAGTCAGTTAATAAGTCGTCTGAATCTTCTTCTTTAATACAAGGCGAATAAGTCGAATAAGAAAGTATTTTATCACAACTGTTAGAAGTGATTAATTTCTACAAAGCAATGAGGTATTCATTTTAGTAAACCATTTGCCATTAATAATTGCAGGGAATTTATTAGTTTTGTTAATTATAATAAATTCTAACCTTAATGGTTCCGCTACTTCTGGATTGAGGCCTAAAACCGGGACCTTTGATGTGATTCTTCTGTAGACAACAGACAACTCCTGGACTGAAATGTAATTCCACATGAAATCTGTCGTCAGAAGTCGGGTCTTTGGTTTGGTCTTCGTATAGCATTATAACAATTTGTGTCATATAATTAAGTTCAGAGACGAGACTAACGTAATCCATGGCTCGTCTCCACTGTTCATCCTTTGCTTCATCAAAAAGACCGCCTAAAGAATATGTAAACAATTTGTATCAATACTCTAACTCTAAACCCAAATTATATATGAGTTTTACCTAAACGTAAAACATTTAAAAGGGAATGAATATGACTTTCACTCGTGAAGTATAGCCGAGTCCTGACGTGACGACCGGGTGAGGAGACTCCATGAGAATAGTGTGGATTCAGACGATTAACACTTTCCGACTCGTCGTCTTCGGCGGCGTAAGTGTTGGTCAATAAATCGGATCTAATTTTCTTGAGAAGCGGCGAACAAATGCCTAAACATTATTTTTTAATACAAAAAACTAGACATGTGGACCTTCATTTTACTTTTTACAGATTTGATCTAGCTCTTCTAGTTTAGCTGTAATCACAAAAACCGCAGCGACACTTTCATTTGACTGGTTAGATATTATAATAAACATCGACTATATTGACAACATTTATATCATTATAAATAATCGGTTCTTCAGATTTTATATTACAAAACAATTCATTAAACTTTATTAAAATCCATTTTAATACAAACTTTTCTATAAAGTGAGTACATATTTGTAAGACAACAACTGTTTGAAAACTATTTAGTTATTTAATTAATAAATAATACTATTTGTGTTAAAATAACATTCTGTGTTACAAATTGTTAAATAAAATAAAAATATAAGAATATTTAGAAAATGTTGAGTAAAACAAAATGAAACAACAATTAGAAGTTTGAATTGTTTGCATAATATTTGGAGTCGAGAGGAGAGGGCGGACCACTCCAGCAGTTGTCGGCCGGTGTTGTCTCCGAATCGTTTGGTTTACGAGACAAGAGATCTAAATGCGAGGAATTGGGAGACGACGGGCCACTGCTGGACACGAAGGAAGGCGGACCACTCCAACCAAAGCTCTGACACGAACTCGTCGGCGACGTTATCGGGAGACAGCCTTTCATGTGATTGCCTGACAGTCCGCTTGAGTTGGCGTTTATGGGTATTCGCATCGACGACGACGAGAGGGGCAGTCGATAGAGTTGGGAAGCCGTCAACTTCTCCAGGAATGACTCCAAATGACGCAGAGATAAGGCGTTGTGTAGTGTCTCCAGCGGTCGTATCGTTGGGATACTCGAACAGCCCTCTGAACACAAATTCATAGCATTTTATAATGTATTTTGTATTTAATATGAATTGCAAAATATTTAATGAAAAACGAAACTTAAAATTGAGGGAGAGTTCAGATAAAGATTAGTATTTGTTCGACAGTTAGAAGTATTAATGATTTAATTGTATTTTAATACCAGAACTGGTGTGAAGAAGAGTCTCCTGAAGGTTTGGTGCGCTCGAAGAGCCACTGATGACAGCTGTGCTAAAGAGACTACTCGTCGACCCTAAGGATTGGCACCAATCATAGCAAAACAGTGCCGAACATAAAGGACTTGCAATAAACGAAACACAAAAATACAACTCAAAGTATGGATGAATTCTCACCGAAATGTGACAAATCCGTGAAATTACACATTCGTAAGTATGTACTCAATTGGCCGGGGATTGAGTGCCTGTGATTCTTGTGGCGAACTTTTATATGGTTTCGATACGAATATTAATTTCTAAACTACTAAATAGTTTCTAAAAATTCAATATAAAAAAGACATACTCTGACAGCCGGGAAGATCGCAGTCAACAGATCCCGAGACGTCATTCCAACTGAGAGTGAGAGCCCTTTCTTTATCAATCTGTTTCTTCTGCTGCTCTTTAATGATATCACTCTCAAGACTGTGAGGTCTTTGTGTGGAAGAAGATAATGAATAACTACGAGCCTTAGACTCAGTTGGAGTGGAGGCCTCTGTTGTGTCGCCAGAGTCTGAAAATGATTATTAAATCATTCAATTTAATCAAAAGACATTAATTTTCACTAACTATTCCTCTCTTTACTTGTTGTAACGGTTATGGGAATCGGTTCTGACTTTTGATTATCGTTACCGCTTTGTTTAGTCTTCTCCTCCAATTCTGGTTCTTCCAGAATAGTCGGCGATTCCTATTATATTTGGACATAAATCGGGACAAAAAGTTTTAAAAAATAGTTACAAGTAATTCAAGAATATGAGGCATAACTGGGGATTCAAAAGGACTCACGGGAGGAGTGGATACACAAAAAACTTTGTGTTTTTTACAGAAACAAACATTTAAAGGCTCTTCGATTGTTAAGTCAGTTAATAAGTCGTCTGAATCTTCTTCTTTAATACAAGGCGAATAAGTCGAATAAGAAAGTATTTTATCACAACTGTTAGAAGTGATTAATTTCTACAAAGCAATGAGGTATTATCGATTGTTAAGTCAGTTAATAAGTCGTCTGAATCTTCTTCTTTAATACAAGGCGAATAAGTCGAATAAGAAAGTATTTTATCACAACTGTTAGAAGTGATTAATTTCTACAAAGCAATGAGGTATTAATTTTAGTAAACTCTTGATTAAACCATTTGCCATTAATAATTGCAGGGAATAACATTAGTTTTGTTAATTATAATTAATTCTAACCTTAATGGTTCCGCTACTTCTGGATTGAGGCCTAAAACCGGGACCTTTGATGTGATTCTTCTGCAAACAACAGACAACTCCTGGACTGAAATGTAATTCCACGTGAAATCTGTCGTCAGAAGTCGGGTCTTTGGTTTGGTCTTCGTATAGCATTATAACAATTTGTGTCATATAATTCAGTTCAGAGACGAGACTAACGTAATCCATGGCTCGTCTCCACTGTTCATCCTTTGCTTCATCAAAAAGACCGCCTAAAGAATATGTAAACAATTTGTATCAATACTCAAACTCTAAACCCAAATTATATATCAGTTTTACCTAAACGTAAAACATTTAAAAGGGAATGAATATGACTTTCACTCGTGAAGTATAGCCGAGTCCTGACGTGACGACCGGGTGAAGAGACTCCATGAGAATAGTGTGGATTCAGACGATTAACACTTTCCGACTCGTCGTCTTCGGCGGCGTAAGTGTTGGTCAATAAATCGGATCTAATTTTCTTGAGAAGCGGCGAACAAATGCCTAAACCTATTGTCAACTTTTCCTTTTGTGTGATTCCATACTCTTGAGGAATGACGAGATCGGCCAACGCTTTGGCGTATTTGTAAAAGTCTTCGGCGTCAGGAAATTGAAGGACGTGTTGGTTGTGTTGCAAATCATATTTAATGCAGTCATAAATGTCTGGTATTTTGCTGATATCATAGCAACCACTCTTCAATCTAAAATCCTTTTCTAGTTTAGACCATCGCCTTTGCATCAGATCCCACGTCTCGCCGTAGTAGAGGTGATAGTCATCGCGCGAATCATCGCGTCTCGACTTAATCAAGACATTCAATTCCTGTATAAATCCGTAAACAGTATCACAGGCTTTGACCGGATTTTTCACAAAATTAAGCGCTGTTTGGACGGAACGGGCGTGAAGTGGATTCAGAAGTTCCATAGGTTTAAGGGGGCGGGAGGGGGCCTGAGGTTACATTGTTGTTGAGTAAACAAATTGCTTTCTTCCTCAACAAACATGAATAACTGTTTGATTGTTAGTCTTTCATTGAATGTGTGACGGAATCTATTGAATCTGTGTTAAAATATCTGTAAGTTTTGGATATACTTTTGTGTGTTTTATTTTAAAAATATTAAATTGAATCAAAACATCACTTTACATCATCTCAATAGGGAGTCCAGACATCATTTAAGTAAGTATTAGTATTAATAAGTAAGTAAATAAATAATTAAGTATTAATAGTCAAATATTTTAAATTTATTTAATGAGTAAAGTAATTAAAACTTAAAAATAAATTTAATTAAAACTGAAATTTTGTTATTTTTTGATAAAATTAGTAATGAATAACAAATTGTTTTCAATAAAATACACGATAAAATCTATTAATGTAATTATAAATAAATTTTGTTTGTTATTATATTAAAATGATTGCATTTTACTAGAATTATGTGAAAACAAAAACTTCCAAAGCATTGAAGCTAAGTTAAGCAATGGAAATGCAATGGAAATTACTGTGTGATTGGTTATCAATTACAGTGAAGGTTATTTTAGTGACAACTAAATTATAGTATCAATGTATTTTTAAAATAAAAGATCAAGTTTTTTGTGTTGAATCGTGTTATTTACGATTTAAATTCATATTAAGACTTGCACTCAACATATCATGAATGACAACGAAATCAACAGTTTCTGCGTTGAAGTTAACGGTTGGACCGTTTGGGCCGAAAAGTTTGGTTCGGGACCTAAAACCGTGCTATTAATACCCGGAGCTATCGGTAAATATACAGTAATCTTATGATAAATTTACAATTAATTGTTGTAATAAATTAGGGACCGGAAGGACAGACTTTTTGGAGGTATTGGAAGGAGAGGATGAACTTAATTATGATAAGTTTACTTTGATCGCTGTGGAGCTGCCCGGTTGGGGCCGATCCAGACCTCCCGTTAGAAAGTATGGCACCGGTGTCTATGATAATGACGCCGAATGTCTTCATCAACTTATGCAGGTTTGAGTTCAATATTAATTTGTGTAATTTTAAATTATAATAGTTTTTATTATTAGGAATTAAATTACAATAAGTACTCAATAATCGGTTGGTCTGACGGCGCGAATGTAGCGCTTCGTATGGCCACTAAATATCAACAATCGGTTGAGTCCTTAATATTGGTCTCCGTTTATGCTTTTATGGGAAACGAAAGTCTGAAAGCATTGACTTCATCTCAAAGTGTCGACGACTGGAATAAAGACAAACTCGAGTCTTATCTCAGAAGCTATGATAACAAGGATGTAATCCAACAGTTGTGGACCCGATATATAAAGTTTATTGAATACTTCAACCAATACTTTCCGGACACCAAAAACAACTATCAATCAATTAAATGCAAAGTTCTTCTTATGTACGGCGAAAAGGTTTGCAAAATATGTTTTTATTTGAACTTTTCTTATCAAAAATAAGTTATTAAAACAAATTTTCACATCAAATTTCAGGACAAAATTTGTGACTCAACTCAAGTAAAAAAATTACTGCAAACTATAAGCGGTGCCAATGTATACAAATTTCCAAAGGGTGACCACAATTGTCACCAAAAGTTTTCATCCATTTTCAAGGATGTGGTCGAAGACTATCTGTTGGAACAGTTCCACGAAAAGGAAGGCGACGAAGAGAGGAGGGGAGCTATCAAATCATTTATGAAATAATATTGTAGCAATGACTTTATAATTATTGAATTATGTAAAACATTATTTACCATAATTAGTTTATAATTGAATGAATTAAATACAGTAAAGCCTCCGTAGGGCATAATTGACAACCAATTACACTTTTATATATACATTTAGTTCTACAATAAAGTAAATGTCATTTTGAACTTAATTATGTTTAATTGTGTAATGATTTAAATGTTAAAAGTGCACAATCATATTTGCATATGTGTAAAGTTTCCAATGAAAGTAACACATAAACAGACCAATTGTAACCAGAATTTAAATAATTTTTCATTTTTACGCTAAAATTGTCGATTATCTGATTAAAATATCTAATTGTTAACATCTTTATATTATTATTTTACGCAATTTTATGATATGTCATAAAGTTTTTGAGACAATTGTAAAAATTGTGTTCAATTGTAAAAAAAGTTTCAAACTAAACATCACTACAAAATGAGTGCAACGGGTAAAGTGGATGTAAACGGATGGCCAATTTGGTACGAAAAGTTTGGTTCCGGTCCACACGTACTCCTTCTCATTCCCGGAGCAATAGGTTTAGTATTTATATTGTTATTCATTTTTTGAAACGTTAAACTGTAGGCACGGGTCGGACCGACTTTGACGACCAATTGTTCGGCGAATACGCGCTAAATATGAACGAGTTTACAATTGTGGCCATAGAGTTGCCGGGTTGGGGCCGATCGCGACCACCCATACGAAAACTCAACAATAAAATATTTGAAAACGACTCCGAGTGTTGTGTCAAACTAATGGAGGTTTGAATACTTTACAGTGTTTTTAAAATTTAAGGGTATTATTCCTCAACATCGATGTCGTATTTACTAAATCAAATATTTTGATCAAATATGCGTTTATATTATGAGAATTAAATGTGTTGCTAAATGGTGTAGGATCTACACTGTAAGTAAATGAGATAGTGTTAAGTTATGTAAAGTTTGCTTTACAATATATTATTATTACTAATAATTTATTAGCATATTCACGATCCTCAAGGTAAGAAAATTAACATCATTTGTCTTTATTAAGACCAAAACTACAGTAAAGTAATTTTGAAAAGCATAACAGAGTTGCGTAAATAATTAAATTGTGACCATTATACTTTATATTTCAAACCCGTTTATATTATTATTATTATGTTAAGTAATATTTTAATAAAACAACAAATATTTTGTATTGACTTATATGAAAATAGTCTTTGGGTTACAATAAGTTTCATGTGTTGGGCTGGTCTGAAGGGTCGAGAGTGGCGCTGGTGTTGTCGGCCAATTACCCCAATTCGGTCATATCAATGATTGCAATGGCTTTACCCGTATATCCAACCGAACAAAATACAGCAAATATATTAAAAACGCGAAACATCCAGAATTGGGGCCCAGAATTGATTGGCAAGTATTTAAAAGTCTACGACAGCGAGAGTGAGATACAGGCCCTATGGAAACGGCATATGGTGTTCATATCAAACTTTCCCGACTATTTTCCAAAGGGTGTCTGCAATTATAAATACGATACAATCACGTGTCCGGTGCTTATAGTGCACGGCGATAAGGTTTGCACTCAAACATTATTGTAATTGTTATGTTTTTAGTGTAAAATAACTGTATTTTTAGAGTAAAATAACTGTATTCTGCATTTTATGAAAATTTTTTTGCATCAATCTTTCTCTTTATTTCACTTTACTTTTACATTCTTTAATCCTGTTATAAAAACAACAAAATATTAATAGTAAGCGAATTACGAGGTCTTTTTGTTTTATTAATATAAAAATAAAATCAATCACACATTCCGAGAGTACATGTCCTTATGGTAAATATTCAGTAATAAGTGATTTATTTGCCTAAAGGATCCATTGGTTCAATTGGAGCAACCCTTGCATCTGATGGAGAAACTGAAAAGAGCTCACCTTAAAAGGTGACAGCAATTAAAGCCCAATCAATGCATTAATCAATAAAACAGAAATTGTTTTTACATAGATTTCCATTGGGCGGACACAATGTCCACGTTGTATATCAGCAACAGTTTAAACAACTCGTCGAAGACTTCTTTTTAGAGGGAAAAGTGTCCGAAAATTAATTTCAAATTATTATTGTTTTTTTAAATGGTTTAATATATTGAATATTTCTACCAAATTACCATATGTTTGATTGTGTTAATAGCGTATAAAATAACCTAGTTTTTTTACTTTTGTTTTGTTGTGTGTTTGACAGTACGACTAAACCAAATATTAAAAACAGATCCCAAATGTAATAAATAAATATTTTTTGAGTAATATTTTCCCTGTGTTTAGAAATCATTTGAAAACAGGTTAATTTACGGATTATTATATTTTAAATGTACCATAACTGTATGAAATTTTATCATGTATTTTGTTTATAATATGAATAAATAATTTACAATAGATAATTGTTATGAAAATTGTCCTTAATTATATAGCAATTAATTTATTCATCGCTAAATGACATCAAATGTAATAAAATTAATAATACTTATATTAAATTTTAATTAATAAAATATCTTTAAATGTCATTTAAAATCTATAATCAAATCAATTTATTCAATTTCTCGAAATTTCTTAGCACTAAAAATTTTCAATTACTTAATTGTTAACGCATTTCTATAGTAAAAACTATTATGAAATCTCACAAGAATTGCGTAAAAGTCAATAAATTAACATTTATGAATGCCTTAATTACAATGTGAGGGGCCGTCCCATTGCGGGAACTGGTTATGAGAGATAATGTGATAGAAGTTGTTTGTATTGAATGTGATTTGAATCGACGGATGACGTCTGTATCAGGAAAATAATGGTGTAATCACTTCACTCACGATCTTTCTCTCCGTAATAATGATTATAGTATTTTCAAATTATTT